GCAATGTGCAGGATTAAAACAAAAACAAACATACAAAATCTGTATTTTGTAGCATACCTTGCAGTTAAATATAACAATATGACTACGCTCCAGCCAATAGTTTGTAAGAAAAAAAAAAAAGTATTTGAAAGGGACCTTCTGGAAGGTCCCTTTAAAAGTGTAAGGAATGTTTGCTTCATTTTCTCTTTATTCCTACTTCCTGGAATATACAAGTCATTGCTCGAGCTGCATAAGCCATATTTTTGACCTTGATAATAACGACAGCCAGAAGCCAAGAAAAGTGAAGCTGAAAGACAAAAGTGCCTGATTCCCTGGTGACTTTGTGAAGCTGTCATAACAGTTCTAGACTGCCCATTCGCAGGCTCACTTTATGGAGACAGTAAACTCCCAATTTGTTTTAACTGCCACAGTCAAGTCTCAGAATCTTATAAAGGTACATTGGAATCACTCTGTGAAAAAAGTTGTTACTGGATTACTGTCTCAGCTATTTTTTTAAAAAATGGCATCCAACATATTTTCACTGGATGGTCCCATATACTTCTCTTTCATACCTCTTTCCTAAGTTCCAGAACCAAAGACCCAACTTCCCCTAAACCCTTCTCCTTGGATGCCCCTTAGTCACTTCAATTCAACAAGCAAAACCTGAATGAGTTTCCATACTCACTGTAACATGGTCTTCCTTCTATATATACTGTTTAGTTAACGATGCCATTGTTGACTAAGTAAACTATTTAACCTCCAAACCTTTAGGAAATTCTTAATTCTTTCTTCTTTTTCACCCTTAACACCCAATGGATAATTGACTCTAAACATATTTTCCTCAGAATTGTTCCATGTATAGATACACTCCTTTCCATTCTCATCAATATTGTCTTAGGTAAGTTCTCACTGTTTCTCTCTTAGACTAATTTTATTATTATTATTATTATTATTATTCTTTAAGTTCTGGGTTACATGTGTAGAACATGCGGTTTTGTTACATAGGTATACACATGCCTTGGTGGTTTGCTGCACCCATCAACCCATCACCTACATTAGGTATTCCTTCTAATATTATCCCTCCCCTAGCCCCCACCCTCTGACAGGCCCTGGTGTGTGACGTTCCCCTCCTTGTGTCCATGTGTTCTCATTGTTCAACTCCCACTTACAAGTGAGAACATGTGGTGTTCAGTTTTCTGTTCCTGTGTTAGTTTGCTGACAATGATGGTTTCCAGCTTCATCCATGTCCTGGCAAAGGACATGAAGTCATCCTTTTATATGGCTGTGTAGTATTCCATGGTGTATATGTGCCACATTTTCTTAATCCAGTCTATCATTGATGGATATTTGGGTTGGTTCCAAGTCTTTGCCATTGTGAATAGTGCTGCAATAAACATCTTAAACTAATTTTTAAAAGTCATTCCTAAATAGGCCTCAATCCTCTAGTCCCTTATCTTTCTAATCTATCACTTCCCTGTCTAAAAAATGTTAGCTTTGAAATGCATAGATTTATTAATGCCCATCTCAAACTAAGAAATTGCTAATTACTCTCAATTGCCTACAGGGTAAAATTAAATTATAAATGATCCTTTCAAAACATTCCCAGTTTCCTTTACAAACTTTTGCTCTACTCGCCCACCCACCCTTATTCCACAACACACACACCAAGAGTACCAAGTAAAGTTGTTTTCAGTCACGTCAGACTGCCTGCCATGTCTGTAACATGCCATGTCTTCCCTATCTCTGTTTTATTTCAGTTGTCCCCTCTATCTCAAATCCTTTCCCTCTCCTCCTCCTATAAGTACACATTTGTTTTCTACTTATTAATCAAGGCCCAAAGCAGATTTGGGCCACTTGCGAAGCTTTCTCTTACCTACTCTGCACTCAAATAAATTATTTCCTCACATGCTATACACGTACATTTCTACATACCAATATTGCATGGTTTATTACAGTGTCCTGGAGTCTTTTTTGTATATTCAGGTACATTTTAGGTTTCTTATTTTTTTATGCATTTCAGTATCTTAAGGACATTACCATATAATCATCTTTACATCCCTCAGATGTACTACTACGCCTTGCACAGAGAGGGGCTCAATTCATAGTAATGGATTTGAATGAACTACATATACTTTGTCTCTATACAGGTAAAACATGCAACTTCAAGATGAGTGCTTGCAATACAGATGTAAGAATGATTGGGGAATAATTTTAATTAAATGGTGTATTATGACAATATCTTTCAGGTTATTTTATTTTATTAATTCATCTTCTTTATCCTAAACCTTCACACCTCAGACCCAGAACAGAACGTACTGCCCATTCACTATAGAAATGCATTCCATTCATACCTACTTATTTTTAACCCACTATATTAGGTAAAGCAATGTTTTGTGAACCTAATCGTGGGATGCCAGCTTTATTTAGTAAACTTTGAATAGTCTGTAGTTTTGAATACCACATTTCTGTAATTTTTAGTGTCTCTCTGCTTTGGAATCACGCTTGCCATTTTTCAAGAGATCTTATAGAAAAATGATAGATTAGACCTTCTTCTGAATTTAAAGAATAGGAACAAGACAGGAACTCAGGGTCACTGAGCGATTAAAGTAAGTGTGCTTTCGCACGCATAAATGAAATGCATTTAGAAAGCTTTCTAGGATCTACCTGCAAACAGATGGCATTAAGATATGCAAAAGGGGGAATGCTTTCTTTTTTCAGATTTATTTTTTTCTAATGGGGAATAGTGAGTGAGATGATGATAAATAGTTTTGGATTTGCAATGCTATTCCTCATTTTATATAATGACTCAGCTTTTAAATTGTAAATCATGGATTCTAAATAGCTCCTGCCTAATCTATCTGTAATATATGTAAAGTTCATGAATTTGAATCATCATACCAAACAGGAAAGAATACAAACTCAGTATATATATAGAAAGGAAATTGTATTTTGGAAGGATAATTAACGCCAATAAATTTTAACAGCTATGCAGAGGCTGAACTTCCACCAAATATTTTTTGAAAGCTTAGCTTCAGACAATATGAAAGTGTATATTTGAAAAATAAAATTTATATGAAATTTAGACCTTATAAAGCATGTTTAGCATGTGAAAATGACAAAAGTAAATGGAAGAGTTTATCCTCCAAATGAATATACTTTTTTACATGTTTAACGTAGTATGATGTTAAATGAGAAAATGAAGACTGGATGTTTAATAAGCCAAAAGGAATATACAGAAGTTAAAAATATATATACATATTAATACATATGCATCTATACACACATATATGCTGTGTGTATCTACGTAAATGTATATATACATACATGTATGCTTATGTGTCAATACACACGCATGTTCCTGTTTGCATGGCTTATGACTAAGTAAAATGCATTTTTCTTTGAAAAGGGATAATGCACTATTAATATACTGACTGTTTATGTGGAATTTTTGATAAAATTTGAATATCAAAGACACTATTTTTTCCCCCTCTAACCACCACTGGAATAAAGTGCTAGAATGCAATACCATCTTATCATTTCCAAATTATTCACTTTTGACTTGTGTTTTTCAGTTTCATCACAGATTCAGTGTTGTCTCTCTGAACAGAGAAAGCATAGACTTTGAAGGTAAATTCAGCTCTGACATTTACTAGTATGACATTGGGGAAGCTATATAACGCTTCTTAAGTTCACTTCTTTATATATTAAAGAAAGCAGAACAAATAAATAAGTGATCCATCTGGCATGTTATTGTGAAGATTAACATAAAATATAGGCAAGAGATAGAGAGTCACTATTTGTTTCCTCCCCTTTACTTTTTTTTTTAATTTGCTTTTGTTGAGATGGAGTCTTGCACTGTTGCCCAGGCTGGAGAGCAGTGGCGTGATCTCGGCTCACTGCAACTTCCACCTCCTGGGTTCAAGTAATTCTCATGCCTCAGACTACTGAGTAGCTGGGATTACAGGCATGCGCCACCACACCCAACTAATTTTTCTATTTTTAGTAGAGACAGGGTTTCACCACGTTGGCCAGGCTGGTCTTAAACTCCTGATCTCAAGTGATTCAGATGCCTCAGCCTCCCAAAGTGCTGGGATTATAGGCATGAACCACCGTGACCAGCCTCTGACCTCTACTTTTGATGGTGATCCTTTGCTTGTGTTTTGAAATTACATCCTCTTTCAGAACATTAACTCATTGAGGGAATGTCCAATGCCAGGATATAGAGGCCCTATATATTTCACATATATAAATATACTAGTGTAACTAAAAAAATTTTTCTCAGAAATACAAATTCCCAGAATATTTATAATGTTCCATTTAAACTTAAATTTATAATCTTGGTCCATGTCCTTTTCAAAGTCACTGATAACTGAATCCAATATAGATATCAAATATTATTTTATTACCATTTTCTCTCCAGAGAAATGATCTACTGCTATTAAAAGATGAGTAGAAAAGTTATACATTAGTTCTACCATGGTAATTTACAGCAGCTTAAAACTTAGGGCCACCAAAGAATTTACGAAATTTCCTCCATCTCTAATAAGTTCTATCATACTCCATTTCTGAAAATATATATGGAAATGAAAACTCTCAAGACACGAACATCTATGTTATAAAAAGAAATAGGGGGAAATGAATATCAATTAATAGCAGTGAAGCAATCATTTTATTAATTTGCAATTCCACACGCATTTATTTTAGAAAAATTACAGGATTCATTTCGGAGTTCCATCTGTACACATTCTGAAGTCATGCTTTAAATTAACATGTCTTTCTCATCCAAATGGCTTATAAAATGTGATTTACTCTTTAATCTCTGAAGTAAATAAAAACAACATTTTAAAAGAAATCTGCCAAGATTTCCTGCTAGTTTAAATACATGTACTTTTAATAAAAACTCCAATTTAGTTTTTCTAAACTAATTTTACCTAAAAGATTTGGTCATGTAAGCAAGGGTGTAGTTACTCTGTTTCAAGCATCTTCCACCTGTGATCATGTACATGCTAGGCAGTACTCACAGCTGACATGATGAGCTCTCCTCCCAGGTTCTGGATCTCAGCTTTAACCTGACTGCAGATTTTCAGTTGGTGGGAGTAGAACTTAATCTGTTCCAGGTAGGCCAACAAGTCCTGTTTGCAAGATGGATCTGGGCACTAAATATGCATCAAAGATAAAAATGGATATAGCAGAATAAATAATAGGTAGATCAAAGTGAGTAAAAACAGTATTCACATGGCAGGTACCTTATAAGGCAGCAATTTTATTTTCATAGCGCAACATTTCTCAGCTCAAGTCCAAGTAGATTCTGATATGCTTCTACCATTATAATAGTTTATTCATTTTGCAACCTTAGTTACTTCAGCTTAGCCAAAAGAAATGTTAAAATACTTTTTAGACATGAAAAGGTAAATAAAATAGCTGCCTTTAATTTATGAGGAAGGTTACAAGCCTTCAGATTATATTTTTAGGTAAATCTAAAGAAATATTTAAAATGTAATTATTTCTTTCACCTAGAATTACTATTAGAATACTCCTAGAATTACTATTACAATGCTCCTTGAGACTCATGGTTCTGCATTGCCTGTCCTTTGCTACTCAAAAGGACATAAAAACATGCAGCAACATAATATGTTCTATTACTTCCAGCATTCAGTGTTCTTAACTGTTATAGACAAAGGAAATCATTTCTACCTTAGATAACAGGTGTGAATCTAACTGAAGCCAAGAAGCAGACAGGGCACATGTTTTAGAATATTAAATTTCCTTATGAAAACCAGCCTCCTGCATCATTTTATCTTTTGGAAGGAACTTCCTGGAGGACAGCTTTGAGCTTTATCATAACATGGTAAATAGCTTTGGTTAAGATTTAATCTTTGTGTTCTTTCTCCTATGCAATTATAATAGATTTATAGAAATCCCTTCTGACTTAATTCCACTTTTAGTAAATTTTTATAAGAATAAGGAAATGTGGACAGTGATTTATATCCAAAGATCTTCATTGTAGCATTATGTATAATAGCAAAATTTGGAAATAACCTAAATTCCCCAAATAATGGAAAGACTAAATAAGAATGACTATCAATATAATGTAGCATTACTCAGTCTCAAGAAAATAAGAGTTTCAAAGGATGCAGGAAAATGTTTTTGGAAGTTAAAAAAAAAACCTGTAAATATTGCAATCAAATTATATTAAAAATTGTGTGTATTTAAAACATGCTGAATGCCAGATGCAGTGACTCATGCCTATAATCCCAGCAATTTGGGAAGTTGAAACAGGAAAATCCCTTGAGCCTAGGAATTTGAGGTCAGCCTGGGGAACATAGGGAGGCAACATCTCTACAAAAAATAAAAATAAATTAGCCAGGTGTGATCCCAGCTATTCAGGAGGCTGAGGTGGGAGGACTGCCTGAGCCTGAGAGGTTAATGCTGCAGTGAGCCGTGATTGTGACACTGCACTTCAGCCTGGGCAAAAGAGTGAGACCTTGTGTCAAAAAATCAATAAATAAAAATAAAAAATAAAATAAAGTAATAAAACCTGCTAGGACAGCTTCAGCTGTCCATCCTTCCTAGGCATAGATCATGCTGCATCAGGACTCTCTTTGCACCATACCCAGACAAATCTCCAGGCATTCAGAGCACCAGTTTGCCTGAATCAGCAGGCTGAGCTTCCCCACCCTTTCTGCGCATAGATCAGGGTGCAGCAGGCCCTCTCCACTCCATGCTTAGGCAGATTTCCAGGTATTCAAAGTACATGTTTGCCCAGATTGACAGCCTGAGCCACCCCTCGCTTTCTCTGCAGGGATCCAGGTATGTAGAAGAGCCTTTCTGCTTCATGCCTAGGCAGATCTCCCGGCATCTGGAGCACCCAGTCCCCTGGATTAGGAGTTTAGACCACCCCAAATCTGTGTGTAGAGAACTTGAGGACAAGAAGCCTTCCCAGCTCCATGCCTAGCCATACCTCTGGGTGCTTGGTACCCACTCACTGGATTATCCTTCAGCACTGGTGCTCATGACTGCCCTTAGGGGAATCTGTAGTCAAACCTGCCAGTCTGGACCTGCCCATATTGCTCCCAACACCTCTGGGGCTGAGGAGGGGGCTCAGAGCACTTTGCACTACAAGAATAAGGCCATTGCCTGAGGCAAGAGAGAGCTTCTGCTAGTAAACAAGGATGAGGTATACACTCAGCAGTATTGGCCATACACACCATCTACAGGCTTGTAGATGGAACTGCATGGCCCAATATAAAACCTGCTGACAGAAAGGTGTAGAGTACACAAGTTAAGCCAAAAGACCTTACCCAGCATTCTCTAAAGTCACATCCCCTAGGGAAAAATAGGTGGGAAAGGGAAAGAAAAAAAAAATCAATAATATTATAGGGAAAGAAAAGAAAAACTATATCCGCATAAATATAATTACAAAATTTTCAAGTATCAATGCCTCAGGATGAGAAAGAACCAGTGTAAGAATTCTAGCACCATGAAAATTCAAAATATAGTAAGACCATCAACATACCATACTAGCTCTCCAGCTACGGTCTCCAGAAAAGTGGAAACTTGGAAAAGACAGATAGAGAATTTGAAGTGTGGATTGCAAGGAAGTTCTAAGATCCAAGACGAGGTTGAAAATTAACACAAAGAAACATTTTAAAGCCATCCAGAAAATGAAGGAAAAGATAAACATCTTTAAAATATCAATCAGAGATTCTGGAATTTAAAAACTAACTTAATTTCAAAATACAACTGGAAGCTTCACCAATAAACTGGACTAAGTAGAAGAAAGAATGTCAGATCTTGAAAACCAGTCTTTTGAATTGACCCAGTCAGAAAAAAATAAAGAAAAAGTGATTTTTTAAAAAATGAACAAAGTCTTTGAGAAATATGGGATTATGTAAAGTGACCAAACCTAAAAATTAGTGAGATTCCTGAGACTGAGAAAAAGATAACAACCTAGAAAAAATACTTGAAGTGATAAATCAAGAAAATGTTCCGAATTTTGCTGGAGAGGTAGACATCAAGATACAAGAAATTCAGAGAACACTTGTGAGATACTATACAAAAAGCAACATTACCAAGGCATATAATCACCAGACTATTCAAGGTCAACGCTAAAGAAAAACATCCCAAAGGTAGCTAGAGAAAAAGGTCAGAACACACACAAAGGGAATCCCAAAAGGCTAAAAGCAGACTTCCCTGCATAAACCTTATTTATAAGCTGGGACAGACTGGGGGCCTACTTTCAGAATTCTTGAAGAAAAGAAATTCCAACAAAAATTTCATATCCCACCAGGCTAAGCTTTATCACTGAAAGAGAAACAAAAATATTTTCCAGACGAACAAGCACTAAAAAAATTCATTACCATTAGGCTAGTCTTATCAGAGACTCTTAAGGGAATTCTAAACATGGGGAAAAAATAGCTGACACCTGCTACCACAAAAACACACTTAAGTACAGAGCCCACAGACCTACAGAGCAACCAAACCATAGAAAATACAAAGCAACCAGCTAACAACTTCATGATAGGATCAAAATCTTGCATATTAATATTATCCTTGAATGTGAATAGCCTAAACACTCCACTTAAAAGGCACAGAGTGGCAAGTTGGATAAAATAAAAACATCCACCAATCTGCTGCCTTCAAGATACCCATCTCACACATAATGACATCTGTAAGCTCAAAGTAAAGGGTTGAAGAAATATCTATCTTGCAAATTAAACTACAAAAAAAAAGAGGAGTGGCTATCACATTAGATAAAATATATGTATGTTAAAATATATTTAAAATATAATATATAACATAGTATATTAGATAAAATATATGTATTTTAAAATATATTAAAATATAATATATAATAATATATTAGATAAAAAAGACTTTAAACCAACAACAGTAAAAAAGGACAAAGAAGGGCATTACATAATGATAAAGGGTTAAATTCAACAAAAAGACTTAACTATCCTAAATATGTATGTACCCAACACTGAAGCATCTCAATTCATAAAACAAGTACTTCTAGATCTGCAAAAAGGCTTAGACAGTCACACAATAATGTTGAGCAACTTCAACTCCTCACTGACAGTGTTAGATATGTGAAATGTTAGTCAATTAAACCTCTTTTTTTATATATAAATTAGCTAGTCTCAGTATCTTCACAGTAATATGAAAATGGACTAATAAATTTATTTTTGGGTAAACAATGAAATTAAGGCAGTAATCAAAAAATTCTTTGAAATAAATAGAAATAAGAGACTCGACATATAAAAATATCTAGGATGCAGGAAAAGTACTGTTAAGAGGAAAGTTTAGGGCAGTAAACTCCTACCTTAAAAAGTTAGAAAGATCTCAAATTAATGATTTAACATCATGCCTAGAGGAGCTAGAAAAACAAGAACCAACCAACCCAAAAGCAAGAACAAACCAACCCAAAAAATTAAAATTAGATGGAACTGAATGAATCTGAGACCTAAAAATTCACAGGAAGAATCAATGAAGACTAAAGTTTTCTTGTTTTTTGTTTTTGTTTTTTTTTGAAAGAATAAACAGGATCGGAAGACTGCTAGCTAGATTAACACAGAAAAAAAGAGAAAGGATCCAAATAAGCACAGTCAGAAGTTATAACTAAAGTGGCATTGCAACCAATACCATAGAAATACAAAAGAGCGTCAGAAACTATTGGGAACACACCTGTGCATACAAACTAGAAAATCTAGAGAAGATAAATTTCTGAAACACAAAATCCTCCAAGAATGAATCAGAAAGAAATTGAAACCCTGAACAGACCAATATCGAGTTCCTAAATTATATCAGTAATAAGACACCCACCACCAAGAACAACCAAAAGAGCCCCAGCCAAATTCTACTAAACATACATAGAAGATCTGGTACCAATCCTACTGAAACTATTCCAAAAAATGGAGAAGGAGAGACTCCTCCTTAACTCATTCAACAAAGCCAGCATCATCCTGATAGGAAAACCTAGTAAAGATACGATGAAAAAAATCTCTGATACCAGTATCTCTGATAAGCATAGATGCAGAAATCCTCAGCAAAATACTAGCAAACTGAATTTAGTGGCACATCAAAAAGTTAATTCACTATGATCAAGTAGGCTTAATTCTTGTAATGTAAGAATGGTTTAATATACACAAATCAA